CCCTGGCTGTATCTCATAACATTCACGCTGATAATACGGATTGGCTTTTGCTGATTTTTCTTTCTAATCTTTTCGTTGAAAAAGATTTTAAATAAAAAATTGATGAAATTTTTGCAGTTTTATTGTACAAGATGACGATGCTGACGATGAATTGGGTGATGATGATGATGGTACAATGGAAGAAAGCACTTCATCAGGCGAATTTTCTGATAGCGATGAACTGGAGGACGATGAGCAAGAGGCTGCTGATGTTTCTGGTGAAAATGATTATAAGAAGGCACATCGGGCAGAAAGTACTGGATATTTGGTTCTTAAGCTTCACTGCTATTAACGTTTTTCTTGAAAAAAAAAAGCATATCAGATCGTTCATTTATTCGAGAGGGCATATTTACAATGATCCCTGGGATAGTCACTGTAAAGATTCGGTGTCAGTTTTGCTGTGTACACGGTTGGCGCAGCTATACCAGGCCCTTTGATCCAGAAAAAAATGAAATTTCACCTTCCTAGTTTCCGTGGTTCCCAAGATAATAATTTTCCCCGCCAAAACTTTTGCCAGGCTATACGTAATAGCCAAGCTCACAGGAAAGCTGAATTTAAATTTTCTGGGTCGCACATGGGTAAGGAGCATACCCACAGAATTTTGGTTCCCTAGTTTCCATGGTTCCCGAGATAATAATTTTCTCTGCCAAAATTTTTACGGGGCTGTATGCGTTACTCGTGGGAAAACACACATGGACAACCCCGTGACAATCTGCGTTGTGCATCACTATTGCACAGCACAAAACGCATAAAAAATTGAATGGAAATATTTGGAATTATATTTAAATGGAATTATATGTGCTGTTGGATTGCCCATTTATTTGTCTATTTCAGAGGCATGGAAGCAGAGGGACCTGAACGAATTGCACATGCGCCTGTCGAAATCTCTCGCTACCCCAAAAGTTAAGGTAATGAGGTTCGAGGTCTTTCATTTCTTTTTTATGTTCAAATATGAAGTAGGAGGCTGTACTGATGATTCCCATTCCTAGTTCCATATGCTTTTCTGTCTATGTTTACAGCTAAGGGATGAAACACAAACTGCACCAAGGATTGGTTCATCGGTGCATGTCGAACTCCGATCCGTCGTTTCGGTCTTATTTTTTAGCACATTCTTTATTAAATAATATTTTTTGATATTAAATACCAAAGTATTGATTAGGCTCTTAAGCAGCATTATTTAAAGCTATTTCGCCAGTAGAAATTAGGTAATAGTGAAGCATATTGGACATTTTAAAAACTGAAACTTGTAGTATAGAAAAATTAGTTCAGTGAGTACAGAAAAAATTCAAAAAATTTAAGCATATGAATAAGAATTTTACAGAAAAATAGTGTAGAAAAAGAAAATTCAGAAAAATTAGTTTATTAAATTACTTGTTTTGGAGTGTTGCATTACTTATTCTTACTTGTTTTGCATCACTTGTTTTTGCAGTGTTAGATTTGAGGTGTTTTTATTAAAAAGAGATTTTGAAATTTTATTTCCTGGGCTAGCTAGCTTGGAATTGCAAAAAAAGTAACATATATCCCCAAAGATAATCCATGTTCGTTTCTATTTGCTTGTCAGGAAATAGCTCGGAAAAAAAATCCTTCTTAAGTGTTTTGGAAATTTTTAAGATGCAAACTATGAAAGTTTGTTTGGCACTATAGGCCCGCCGAT